TTTTTTTTTTTTTGGAGATGTTTTTCTTATTGGGCACATGTGCTCCCCAGAAAGACAGTGAGAGACAGAGAGACAGAAAGCGAGAAATCACCCACCAGAGGGATGGCCATGCCACGATCCCTCTCCTCCATTCTCCTCTCAGGATCTTGGGCACGCACACACACGTGCCTGGCGTGAATTTAGCCACCAGATCTGGGACTCGAACTGTGGTTGACTACATGAGAGTCCAGTGACAGCCATTATGCTAACTGCTGGTCCCATTTTTTTAATTCTTGAGAGTGTCTTAAAAACATATTTTAATCAACAGCATATTCAGAATTTCACTATTTATTCATAAATGTGTGGAACCAACATGGAATACAAAAATATTTCTCTTAAATACTGAAAGAACTTAAATTATATCTATTATTTAAAATAATAAAAATTATTTTTATTTTATTCATGATAGAGATTTCATTCACACACACCATGCACACACACGAGAGATAGGTGGAGAGATACAGAGAGAAAGAAAAAGAAGGATCTTCAACAAGATGTCATCACATAACAACGTCCTTTCTCCAACTCTCCAGCTCATCCACCTCTCCAGCTCATCAGAACCTTGGGTGTGTGCATGTCTCAGGTAGACCATCCTGGGAATCTGAACTGACAATGTTGTCCATATGTGGCTTCCAGCACTGCAGTTCAGCACACCGAGGCTCGACTAGGACAAAAATACTTGTGAAACAACTACTGCCCGTAAGAAATTAAATGACTTCGTAATAGTCTGGTAGAGTTAACTATGAATTAGCTATTGTTCAACTAAATGTTAGGGACAATTTGTGAAATAAGACAACTCAAATCAGTGATGGAATTTTATACTATATTAGAATAAAATACAGTGTAGAAGAATATTTCTCCATTAGAGAAAAGGTGTCTATGAACACATAACTATTTTACATCATTTCATTCTTTCACATTTAAATGTGGACAACATTGTTATCAAGTATAATGGGAGAATATATTGTTCTGCTTAAAGATTCAGATAAAATAAATTACTGTTTTAACAAAAAAATTATGGAGATATATAATAGATATGTAACATTTATACATGCACATATACCAACTTTCAAAGACCTTCAATGCTGAAGTGAGCCCGCTAAAACTTAATCAACTCTAAATGTATTAAACTCCACCATCATTGCATTCTAGAACTCAATCTATATGTATGACAACATGTCTAAGGAAAAAGGGGTCAGTGATTCCCTCCTGTGATGCCTAGAACTTTGTTCCCAGGCAGGAAACTCTTATCCTCTGTTCTGCTCCACCCCTGAGGCAATAGAGACTGGATTCTACCCAGTGATGATGATAGTTTTCATGGCCTGACAGTCCAGCAGAGCAGATGCAAAGAGGCTGAGAGTAAAGTCCAGAAGGCTAAGAGCTATGATAGTTTGACCAAAGGTCCTTTTCAAAACTACAGGGAAATCTGGAGTCCCAAAACACAGAATACTTCAGTACCTCAAGTTCTAATTCACAAACTGATAAAGAATAGGATTATTAGCAAAACGATTTAAATAGGTCCCAAGGACATTTGGAAAAACACATTTTCAAAAGTTTCTTTATAACTTTAAATATCTAACAAAGGGGAAAATTAAAAGCTAGAAAATGTTATAAGACTATTAAATAAAAAGTACATAAGGCCATTGTTTTGGAATAAGCTCTTTCTCTAGGTTCTAAAACACAAGACCAAAATGGAGTCACTCATGCTAAAATATCATATTAAACTTAAACTTTAAGGAAGCTGATAGATTCCCAAGTAGAATAGTTTTTTTCTTGTAAACTTAAGGAGTTGAGAGGGAGTAGCTAAGTCAGTTCTATAAGGAAATAAACTGTATACATATTTATGGCTTTCTTCATAGTGTGTAACTAAAATAGTTCAAAATGCTTCTTAATGGGACTTTCTTGGTTTGGAACCATCATTATTGCCTCTGTACATTCTTTCTTTACCGTCTATAACCACTGACTCCACACTTTGCTTAACATTAAGCAAAATGACTCCATGTGATCATGATGAGGTCATCTTGCTTCCCTTATGGAATTTAGTCAATCACTACTATATAAGACTCTGTTTATTCCTCCCATTTGCAACTTTTGCCTTTAAAATCATCATAGATTCTGTAAGATCTTGCCATACAAAATTGAGAGCGATTTGAACTTTGCTGATGATTGTCCAAACCCTGGCCCAAATAAATTATGTAGCTTTGCTTGCTTTGCTTCAGCTTTCCTTTTTTAGGTTGACAAGCCATTGAATGATTTCAAAAGTAGGAAGTTTATGTATCTGTTTTATTGTTAAGTTTCATGTTTCTGGACAAGAAAGGATTAGGTGGGAGGACACAATACCAATGTCCTGGCAAAACAGAATAAAAGGACTATGATGGACCTTCTTAATATCTCTCCTTCATACCACAGCCCCAACATCCTCCCACCAAATCATACTAACTATGCATAAACCCAGTTATTATATTTCTTTACACAGGCAGAAAATCATAATGGAAGTCTCACAGGAAACTTGTTTGTCTTCATTTGCCAGAAGGTATGAGTGTTCACTGGAGAGAGAGAGAGACAGGGAGATAGAGAGAGGAACAAAAAAAACACGCCCTATGGGGCATGGTCATGCCACAACCCCTTCCCCTTAATCTCTCTTTTTGGGATTTTGGGCATGCACACACATCCACCCAGAGTGTTTTTCAAGCCTCTGGTTCTGAGACTCAAACAGTGCTACCAGCCATGTGGATCCAACCGCCTTAACCATCACACCACTGATTGAACCTTCCCCACTTATAGTCTCAGGAGCAGTAATGAAAGTACATTTTCCAGAATGTCTTTGTGCATGAAAGCCCACCCTACTAATCAACACCTTTGACTCACTTTCACAAGGAAATGCTTTTTCCTTTGCTCTAACCCCACAAACCTCGCTATAACTTTGGGTTTTTTTCCTGACTTAAGAAGAGAAAAGATCAAACCTGTATAAGATATTTATAGGTTGGATAAAAGACAGGAATTTTCGACAGTTCACAGGAACACCTACATACAACTGCTCTTCTTTTCAGATCGGGACAACTTTGGTGAATATTCTGAAGAGAGCTGCACTAAGAGTGATCCAAATAATTTGTTCTCTTTGTCTTTGACCTTGTTATATCAAGGAACTGCAAGAAGTAAAGTGACAAAGGTAATGGAACTCCACATAAAACCTATCAATTAGCAGTCATTCCTAGTCTGTATATCATTTCTAAGCTTGTACAACAGCCTTTTCTTCCAGCACATGCAGCATCCCACCCTAAAATCCCTGAAAAACATTTGGTAACATGTTAATGTGCAAGAAAGGATGCTGTATGCCTCAATTAGATGAATATATTTTCTGAGAATATTTATACCTGTGAATTCCCCTATGTGGGAAAGAATCTTTTAAAGGGGCACTTAATTGGGTTTTTGTCTGCTTCTGAGAGTAATGGAAACTCAGTTTTTGAAAAGTCCCCCAAACATAAGAAGGAAAATGAAAATCATATGCCATTCTACCTACTTAATAGACATAACCAATGTCAACATGTAGGGGTATTTCCTTTCAGCAGTGAGAGAAGAGAGAGGGTTACCACAATTGAGATCATATTATATTACATGTGTATCTTTTGTGTCTTGCTTTTTGCATTTAACACTATATTATACAACAAACTTTTATCAATGAATTATTATAAATCAGAACCATACTTAGACAATAGACAATCGGTCTCTAACTATTATGATTTTTCCATTAGATAAAATACTCTTCAAAGCATGATTTTAAAAGATGCACAATATGAATGATTTTTGCAAAAGAGAGCGAGTAAAAAGATCTTCTTGGGACCTCAGATTAGCCCCAAAGTAGTCTATCTTTTCTTGAGAGGGACATTAGGCCCTAAAAGAAAAATAAATAAACAATTAAAACCTATACAATGCTCAGGGCCGGCAGGTGGCATGATGGTTAAAGGCACGGGGTTCCCACATGGCCAACTGTAGTTCAAGTCCTGGACCTGGCTGCTTGCTTCTTCCCTTTCTCTCTCTCTCTCTGTCTCTCTCTGGTCCAATTAAATAATAATAATAATAACAAATGAAATAAATCATTCTTTTAAAAAAGCTATGTAATGCTCAACAATGTACTATTACATAATATAATTAAATCATTCCCCACTATTTGAACAGAGGTTATTTCTTTTTTGTAATAGTTTTATTAAAGTATGATAAACTACACATATTTAAAGGGTTTAATACGATAGGTTTGGACCTTTGTATACAGTTGTGAAATTGTCCTCACAGTCAAATTAATAAACAGATGCATGATTCCCAAGAGTTCTTTTGTGCTCTTTTGTAATTTTCCTTTCCTAGCCTTCCCTGTCCCACCCTTTTGTCCAGGCAGCCTTTGATCTGCTTTCTGTCACTATAGATTAGTTTGAATTTTCTAGACTACTTTATAAATGGAATAATACACCACATACTCTCTTTTGTCTGGCTTTTTTCACCCACCATAATTATTCTGAAATTCATTCATGTCGCTGTGCAATCAACCATTTATTTTCTCTTATGGCTCAGTAATATTCCATTATATAGATATACCACAATTTGTTTATCCATTCATCTGCTGATGGATATTTCTGTTGTTTCCATATTTCCTATTATTACCAATAAAACTGCCATGAACATTGTATGCGTCTTTGTATACCACATATTTTTTCCTCAGGTAATCTATACAAAGGCTTATACACAAATGTTTATGGCATCTGAAGATAGAATAACTGGATTATATGCCATGGGTGGGTGGGTGGGTGTGAGTGTATATTTCTAAGAAATTGTCAAACTGTTTTCCAAAGTGGTTGGTCCATTTTCATTCCTACCAGCAGTGCATGAGAGCTCCAGTTGCTATGGATTCTTGCCACACTTGTTCACTTTAGTCTTTTTCACTTTAGACATTCTAATAGGTACATGGTGGTATCTCATTGTGGTTTTATTTTGCATATTTTTGATGACTAACAATGTTGAGCATCGTTTCACATCTTTACCCAGTTTGTTGGGAAATTTTCTCAAATCTTTGATCATGTTTAACCTAAAGTGATGGTTTGAGTCACAGAAGAGTCTACAAAATATTAAGTTCTTATAAAATTCTATCTTTAATGATATACTTCTAATATTTTATCTAATTCCTATCCAAAGCACTCAAGGTTGCAACAGAAATAAAAGATTGATCTTACTAATACATTAACAACAGATGATTGATGATGTTGCTTTAAAAGACTTACTTAATCATCAGGGAGACAACATGAAAATAAACAATATTTTAAAGCAGAACACCATAATTCTAAGTACCCACCACCAAGTTTTTTAGGACCAAAGACTTTAATATCATGACAATTATGATAATGTGGTAGGGGAACCTCAAGGACCAATGAAGATAATGGGCATGCTTAGAACTTAAAAACACACATACATCCTGTGATGACCTTGCAGCCCTGTCCCCATAGCAGCTTAGCAATTCCTAGTGACCTTGTAGCCCTGCTAGCAACATAGAAACTCAATAACTTCATGTATGCCTGCATATCTGACAGCCGGATAACCTAGTATATGCCTGTATCATTCTGTAATAGTCTTTTACCCAATCAAAGGTATGGGGTATCAAAGAAACTAAACTATATATGGGATTCAAAGAACCTAAGACAAATAAAAGGAGGAGCCCCGAGAAATTTGGGGGCTCGGCATTTGGATATGAATCCCCCAAGCTGGAGCTAGCACACACACACAAACACACACACACACACACACACACACACACACACACACACACAAAAAAAAAAAAAAAAAAAAACCACTGTTTTCCTGCTAAAGTCTCTGTGTCTTGTCTCTCTCTCATTGAATGTTCCACAACAATAGCTCTTGCATGCTCATGGCCAATCCTACTCAGCAACTCTGATTTGAGTCTTTGATCCCTTCTGGCTCATATCTCTGTACTCATTTCTCCTCTTGCCCCATGCTATTTCACCTGATTCTCACTCTTCCTCACTCAGAAAATAATCTACTTCTTATATTGCCCAGGAAAAATATTAATTAGTATGATTTTTACTTCCTTCTTTTCCTCATTTTATAAACATATCTGCCTCTTTGCCTATGCTTTCCTCCTCTGCCTTGTGTAAGAGAAACACATATGTCTTTTGTAAGAGCCAGCACTGCTTCCTAGACTCTGGATTCTTTTTTCTCCAAACTGTAGGCATCTAGTACCTAGTACTTGCCTCTTTCTTGCTACTTCTTTTTCTTTCTTCTCCTCATCCTCCTCCTTTTTAGATTTTGCTACAGAACATGTGCACTCAGAGAGAGAGAGAGAGAGAAAGTGAGAAAGTACCCCCTGTGGGTCAAGGCCATGCTACAATCCCTTCTCCTCCACTTCTCCCTTCTTTTGGAATTTTGAGTATGCACACACATGTTTTTCAAGCCACTGGATCTGGAACTCTAACCACACAGTCAACCATGTGGGATTCAGTCACCTTAACCACCATGTCAAAGGCTGGCCCATCCTATATCTTCAGTCCCTACCTAACCAATAATTTGTTTCCTTCAGCATTCAAGTTTATTTAAGACTCCAGAAACTCAACATCAAAACTATCCCACCATTTTGTGTTAGTCTCCAAAGTTTTCCTTACTTTGAACCAAGCTTCCATAAAACAGATACCTCACTTTTCCTCAATTTCCATTCATATCTCTGTCACCACAGTGTGGTTCTATGATATTCCTTGGCCTGCTTTGTTGAGAACACCAATGGTCAAAACTACAATATACTCCTTGTCCTTGATCTCATTTGACATCACTTGAGTAAGTGTCTCTTTATTTGGTTTATGTTACATGTTTCATCCCTGGGCACCCTTCCGTCATTCTAGCCACTCAGTTTTCTTTGCATGGTCCTCTTGTGCCTCAAACCTCTTAGTCATTCCCAGAGTTCTGTATGGAGATCTAGCTTGTCTTTCTACTCGTTTTGCATGAGATCCTGCATCCATCCACATGTGGGGCCTTAAGTGCCACCTATGACTTCTCAATCTACACTTCTACTTCAGACTTCTTCTGGAGTTTCAGACCAGTCATTCAAGTGTTTATGAGACCTATCTACCTCTTAGCCCTTCAAATACCTCAAATTCCACAAAACTAAATTCCTGATCTCAAAGCCCATTCTTTCTACCACATAATTTATATCAAGTCTAGAAACAATGAGACATTGGAGATCATCCTTTGTTTGCTTCTTATTTCCAAATTGTCCCATGGTTTTACATTATAAAGACACTGAATTTATACTAGCCTCACTGTTATCTTTACTATTTCAAGCCTTTAACAATTTACGGTTTTAAATTCTATTTTATTTGTCTGTCTCAAATTCCTAGAAACAAACAAAAACTCAAAGTGTCTGAGAAAATATACCTACTATTTTTGCCCAGGAATTTATTTATTACGACATTCATAGAAACCTTCCATAGTATAAGGAAAAATAGAAATTATTAAAAGCTTTTTTGGAAAGTGCAAGATTTATTTTATTTTATATTTTATTTTATGATAGAGAGCATGTGCACAAAAGGAAAAGAGAGAAAGAAACCACTCTCAACAGGATCTCATGCCACAACTGACTTTCCTCAGCCCTCCAGTTCCTCAAAATGTTGGGAGCCTGTGTACATGCCTAGTGTGTTTCCAGGCCAACCTGAGGATCCAAACCCTTATTGGCCAGGCAACTTCCAGCACTATGGTCCAGCACTCCATGGCTGTACCTACAATATTGTTCTTGTCATCTAATTCCCTGTAGCATAATCTTGAAGATTTTTGTCCTGTAATACACTAGATCTCAGGCCAGGAGATGGTGCGGAAGTTAAGGTGGCTGCATCCCACATGACCAATTGTGAGTAAAGAATCCTGGGCCCTGCAGCTAGAAAAATCACACTGGGCACTTGTGCAAGCATGCTCAAAATTCCAAGAGGAGAGAATGGAGAAGGGATTTACGCATAGCCATCCCCCTGGGGGTAACTTTTTACTCTCTCTCTCTGTCTCTTTCTCTCTTTCTCTCTCTCTCTCTCTCTTTCTCTCTCTCTCCAGTGAGTACATTGGCCCTATAGCAAACTAAAAACAAAACAAAACAAAAAACCGGATCTCTGGAGATCTTGATATGGTCTCTGTTATATGTGAAATGAACATTGACTTTGTTTTTGAACAATAGAATACATTAGCACTAGGCAAGTGGCATGGTGGTTAAAGGCGCTGGACTCCCACATGGCTGACCACGGTTCAAGTCTCGGACCTGGTGGCTTGCTTTCTCATTTCCTATCTCTCTCTCTGATCAAACTGGAAAATAATAATGATAATAACAATGAATAAAGTAAAATAAAATAATTCTTAAAAAAAAAAAAAAAAACTACTCATCTTCCTTTACAGATGAGGAGATAGAGACTCTGAAAGGCTGGACCAGCAGTTGGCGTAATGGCTATGTTGCTGGATTCCCATGTAGTCAACCGTGGTTCGATTCCCAGACTTGGTGGCTCAAACTCATGCCAGGCGTGTGTGTAGGCGTGCCCAAGATCCCAAGAGGACGATGGAAGAGAAGGCCATCGCCCCTGGGAGGTGATTTCTCGCTTTCTATCTCTCTGTCTCTATCTTTTTGGCAAGTGCACATGCCCTATAGCAAAAACCTCTCCAAAAACAAAAAAAGAGAGACTCTGAAAGGAAAAACCACATATCTACTATGGTCTAGCATATTAATGGCAGAGTCGTTACCCCTAAAGAATCATTTTCCTATTTCTCAATACCTTTCTTTTTCAACATTTCCATCATTGGTTAATGGTTTGCAACATTCAGCTTTTAATTTGTTCATTTTGAAGTAGGTGGAAATGGAGAATTTTACA